GTTGAGTTGATTTTGGTCATAAATATAAGACCTATTTTTCAAATTTATCAATTTTGTCTAAATTATCCATATGGATACTTCCTCAACCATAATCAAGTAAAAAAGAGAGGAATGATATTAAGAAAGATGATTATGGTGTTTTAGGAAAAACACGTCATATTTTTTATAATTAACTAACTTACCTAATTTTCTTAATCTAATCAAATTAGTTAAGTAAATCTTATATTAAGGACCGGAAGAGTATCTTATATTTAAGATCAGAGGTAATATTATCTAGTTTTACGTGGGTTAATATTATTTTTAGTGTATGAAATTTGATCTCATTTTAGTTTTGGTTTTTGAAATTTGAAACTAATAGTTTTACTCCTTAAAATTGGATTTCATTTTGATTGTGATTCTTAAAATTTGAAATAAATGGTTTTGATTTTTAAAATTTAACTTTATTTTGATCTTAGTCCTTGAAACATAGACCAAAAACATTGTTCCAAGAACAACGAATCTTAAGGCACCGAGATGAAGTCCAATTTTAGGTATGAAAATCAGTGGTTTTAAATATCAGATGTCAAAATAATAACAAGATCAAATTTTAGAGAAAAAAATGATATCAACCCTTTATGTTTTAAGACTAATTCTATAGAGTAGTGTTTTTAAGAACAAATTCAGAAAACAAAAACAATAAAAAAATGTTTAAATTATTATTTTTTGGGTGAAAAAATATGTTTAAATTATTAGTTTGAGAATTAGTTAGAGAAAAAAATGATATCAACCCTTTATGTTTTGAGAATTATTATTTATATAATTGCCCTTAATAAAAACATAAAGTTCTCTATTTATTCTCTAATTCTGTAAAACAAAATATAGCAAAACATAAAAAGATGTTCTGAATTTTTTTTTCAGGATAATTTTTAATTCTTTTTGTTTTGCAGAACAGGTAACTAAAAACACATTTCCAAACAATAAGAATTAGAAATTATCCTGAAGGATTAAAAATTTTCAAACATACAAAGAACTATTCTTTTTTTAAATTTTGGTTAAAAAAATTCTGAAAATAAGAAATCAAAGAAACCCATAGTTATTGAAGGATTTTCTGTACTTATAGGGTTAGTTAGTTTTATTTTTCATAAATATGAATAGAATGATTTGATATGTTCTTCTCAATTATATATCCTATATAAAATGTAAATATCAAACCCCTCATTGGACGCTACGTAAAAGCGCAGATAATTTTTTCAATTTCATGCGTTTCATGGAAACATATGTTTTGATTTTATCTAATTAACGCAAAATCATTTTCATAACCATTTGTTTCCAAATAAAGGACAATGAAATGCTTATATATATAATTGTTTTATTTGTTTTGTAATATTTTATGTTTGATATTATATACATAGATAAGAAAGCAATTAGCTAATTTATATGGTAGAAAATTATAACTATATTTGACTGAAATTTTAAAGAGAATAATGAATATTATATAAATGAACTGAACAGGTCTTATCTAATATATAGAGCTTCTTTTCTCTTGGGATGGTGGAGAAGTTAGCCGGGACATGGCCCGATCCAAGTCAAATTGGGCCACCGACTGAAAAGTAGCCCAATTAAGGATCCTAAACAGGGGACCAAATATTATAATCAATGTAGTGTAGCCCAAAATAAAATCACTATATGCATAATATAGACAAGGCATACTTTCTTTCTTTAAGTAGAAAAGAACAGTAGATACTAAGTTTACAAATTAGTCCCTTACAACATGACAAATCAAGGTTTGAATTTCTGTTGAGAGATATATTCATATTTAGTGTTCTATGGTGTCTTAAGTAGAAAGATATCTATGCGTAACAAAAAGAGAACTAATAGACTGAGGTTACAAATAAAATTGAACTCAAAATCCTTCACTTACCGAGAAGTTTTATGCCAGGACTATGGGCAAATAAGCCATACTATATGGAAAGTTATAATGGTACAACATATTTAAAACTCTGTATAATGCACCAAAAACATCTTTTTAGCTGGACCATAGTCTTTTTATTAGGCAACTTCTAGAAAAAAATTTTCCACCTTAACGTAATATCCTTTGCAAATATATTATGAATGCATCGTATAGTGCGTGCTATTACACCACCTTTTTTTTTTTTTGGGTACAATACACCACCTTTTAGACTCTATATAATACCCCAAAAAAATTTGTTTAATTAGTTGGATCTTGTCCCCTTTTGTCCTTTGCAGATGGTCTGCTCTAGAAGTTTACTTTGGTCTTTGAATATGGGTGTCCAGTGAACTCTCTGGCAATAATTAAAACCCATATCTTTTGGTGTTTATGAGCCAACTAGAACTAATTCTCAATAGAAAAAAATCATAAAAAAGACCCTAAAAATTAAAAAATTGTATACAAAGATCCGTTCATAAAACTATTGTCAAAACCCAAACTACTATTATCATGGGTTCCTATTTGCAATTTATCTATTTCAGCGGTTTTTTTTTTTTTGCGATTTTTTCTTATCAATATCTTTGTTTATTTTTATATGACTCATTAAATTGGGTCAGATTGAAACATTATCAAATTTAATTAGAAACAGTTCTCTTAAATCATTTTCTACATTTAGACATACTTAAACTCAATATCTCTTATTTGAGTGGTTAAAATCTTTTCTGCTAGCATTAACAGTGGCTAGTATTGGTATCTTTGTTGTATTATCATTGTAGGATGTGTTTGGATTAGCGGTGATAAAACTGATTTTCATTCTGTGACTTTTACAAACGTGAGTTGGAATAAAAGTTAGCTAGTGTAATGTGATTTATGTTTGGATTGATATTTATAAAAAATTCAATTTAAAAAATTAAAACTTGTTTAGATTGATAATGAAAAAGTAAGTTCAAATATAAAATTACTGAAAAGGGTATGAATTTTTATATAACACTCAATTAATTAATTTGAAAATATTAAGGATATACATAATTATTTTAAAAAGATCATGTAATATATAATATAATTAAGTAATTTATTTAGCTTTTTAAATCTATTTAAATAATATTATTAAAATATTTATCATTAAATTTTACAATTTTATTTTTAAAAAAATAAATTTAATTATATAATATTATTATATTTATTAAAATATAAATCCTAAACAATATAAATTAAAAGAATAATAAATAATATAAATGTGTTGCTTGCTGTTGGTGAGAAAAAAATAAATGTGTTGGCCTACACAGGGACACGATGGTAAAAAGATTAGTGGGTCCCACTCACCGCAACGCATCCAAAGGCAAAAAAAAGAAAAAGTTACATCGAATAAAGTCAATTTGAAACAGCAGTGCCATAGGACAAAACACAATCCTAAACAATCTATTTTCTTTAAATAACTCTCTAACCCATGTTTCACGTTTTATAGTTTAAAGGTTATCCAACCATAGCCATATTCGTCGTTGTCATCATCATAACAAGAGGGTTGCTGATTAAGTTTTAAAATGCTGAAATTAAGTTAAATGTAATCCCCTTCATCACTAATCATACCTAAACCTCAATAATTCTGTGATGTCAACATCACTCGTGCGTTTTGAGTGAATGCCAGCTAGAAGATGTGTCGGGTAATTATTTCTGTCAACTCACAAAAGTTAGGCTCAGTTCGCTGTTACCGCCACCGTTTGTGGAAAAGCAAATAAAGAAAAAGAAATCATCATCAATCACTTCATCAATGACGGTTGCGCCAAACCTTAGTTTTTTTTTTTTTGCCTCTCTGTCCTTGTTTATCACAAAAAAATATATATTATATTCAGTCTTTTATTTTATTTTTATTTTAATAATAACTATAAAATCCTAATTTATTTTATCTATAGTTTTTTTTAAAATAGTTATTATAATAATAGTAGTTTTAGCTAATATATTTAATTAGTAATGATATTTTAAAAAATAATATTTATTTATTATAAATAACTAACTTAATTAGTTTTTTTAATCCACTCAAATTAATTAACTAGATCTTATATTAAAGATTAGAGGTTGTATATTTTAAAATTATTTTTGCATTAAGTTTCATGCAATATTCTAAAATATTTTTTCATGTACATTCAGTAAAAATACTAGATGTATTTAAAAAAATATTTTAAAACATTGGATGAATCACAAAATATAATGCTAAACGTATCTGATAAAATATTTTAGGATGATGGATGTATAAAAAACATTTTTATGATGCTATACTTGCTTGAAAAACAATTTAGGGTGTCGAATGATTACATCATAAAATACTGTGACATATGGGACGCATATGAAAAAAAAAATTTCAATATGAAACATAATATTTTAGGATAATAAATATAACTGAAAAAAATACTTTAGAATATTAGATAAAACTTAAACAAAAAATAATTATAATGCATATATTTCACGAAGGAGCACGGGACAGAAGAAAAGAATTCTTAGATACTCTGGGTGTACCAGCTCACCTATACCCTGACAAATAAAAACATGCCATTTAGATAAATTTAAACCTACGTGGCAGCTTTCGTGTGAATTTTCAGATTTATAATATTTTAATAATTTCTTTAATAAGCCCCTATTTTTTTAAAAAACATTTTTTAACTCTCTTTCCTGTACATTTCTCTACCCATTTTCTTTTCTCTCTCTTGTCTTCAACATCTCCCACTCTTTTCTTCAACAGTTCTCCCCAATTAAAGCAAGGTCACACAAACTTCAACAGCATTAGAGAAGCATTTATCGTAGCGGAGGGTGCTCCGATTTGACAGAGCCGCCTCCGTCGTGCCTGGAACGCCATCACGAATAATACCTTACTTTCACCATCATCTTCTTCCTCAAACCCGTCTCCTTTCTTTTCTCCTTTCACACACAGGATCTTGTATGTGCTTGTGTGCTTTTGTTTGTGAATGCCCATTTATTAGACTATTAAGTGGACTTCCCCCTTTCAGCGTGATGCTCTCAGAGTACCTAAGAATTCCTTTGGGACAGTAAATCCAGCTTTCTTTCTTTCTGTCTTTTTCTGTTTTGCCGTCAAGCGTCGCAGAATCCAGCTAGACCTCCATCCATACTATAAATAAGTATGGAAATTTATGCAGTTTAGGTTGAGAGGCCCTTGGATGTCACAGATCAATAATGGCGAGGTTCAACTGCTATAATTATTCCCACATGACTTCGCTTGTTTTGGCTCTTCTCATACAGATTTGTTCTCAACCTGTGGCTTCTGGTTCATCATCATCTTCCGTAGTAGAGTTTCTTCCGGGCTTCCGGGGACGCCTTCCTTTTCATCTTGAAACTGGGTATCTCATTATTATTTACCACTATTCTTCTCATTTCCTTTTTCTTGCTTCTTCAACTGTTCAGATCTTGACCAGTCCCAAAAAGATCCCACCAGTGTGAATTTCTTTAATGAATTGATCTGCCACCAATTCTTGAGTAATTAATGAACAAAATACTAAGGAGCATGCTTGGTATTTAGCAAGGGATTTCCCAAGATATAGGATTGCCATAGGAGATTATTTAGCAAAACATTTTGCATAGCCTTGATGGCAGTTTTTGCATCTTTAATTACCTTCTGCCTCTTTCTCAAGAAGCTAAGTTAGGTTTTGCCCTTGTAACGCAAAAAGAAGGAGATTAGTTATAAACCATAAATATGCAAATAAGTTCTATAGGAGGCGCATTTCTTTTTCATTTTTTCTACCCCAATTCCTATCTATTCTCTGGAAATCTCTCCATTGATTTGACAATTTTGTTTTTGGTAAGGTACGTTGGGGTTGGGGAAGAAGAAGAAGTGCAAGTTTTCTATTATTTTATTAAGTCAGAGAACAATCCTGAAGATGATCCTATCCTGATTTGGTTACAAGGAGGTCCTGGTTGCAGTTCGTTCGGGGGACTTGTCAATGAAATAGGTATAAACTAATAAACATCAACCTTACTCTTTATTTTCTTACATCTCACACATCCATACAACTTTTCTCACATGCCTTGCGCAACGCAAAAGTGCCTTTTTATTTTTTTAATCCAAATGGGCATTTAAGCATCGCTTGATCTCTCTCTTCTTTCTTCTTAAAAAGTAAGGTTTGATTTCTTAATTTTATAAAGTACGTTGTTAGTCCTTTAATTCAGAAAGAATTAATCTCAAACGATGATTTTTTTTGTGTGTTAGTCGTTATTATTTTTTAAATTAAATTTAATGTATTAGTATTTGACACTGTTTTGTCAATATTTAAAATTTAATTTTATTATTTTTCATTAACAGCATTAAGATTAAAAAACTAATTAAAAGACACATCATAAATTAAGGGACTAAAGCAAAATATTCTGCAAAATTAAATAACCAAATATGCATTTTTGTTTTAATTGACTAGATATATCATTTTCTGGACAAATATGATCAGTAACAGCTTTTATTGTTTGACTGTGGGTATCATAATGTAGGTCCAATTGCATTTCCAAACCAGGTGTACAATGGGAGCTTGCCTGGCTTACTCTTGAGGCCTCCCTCATGGACAAAGGTTACCCACGCACATTTATTTTATATCTAGAAATTTTTTTTAAAAAAAGAAGGATAGAGGAAGACATCAATAAGATTATTCAACACAATAAGATCTCCTGATTAACAACCTATTTAAAAATTTGGTTATTGATAAAACACAATGACATCGTATAATCTATGTAGTTGACTCCACCTGACTCCATCTTAATGAGATAAGATTTGTTGTTGTTGTTATTTATTTATATTTGGTATGTTGGGAATGTTATCAGAACTCAAATCCTTTATTTGTTCATGTCATCAACATCAAGAGACTTGTTTTTTTTTTTTTTTGGGTTCCAAAATATGAAATTAGAAATTGTGACATGTCTTAATTGAAGTTTTCTACAATATGGTTCCTCATTAACTAAATTAAAATTTTTCCTTGATTAGGTAAGCAATATAATTTTTCCAGATTTGCCCGTTGGAACAGGCTTCACATACGCCAAAACTGAAGCTGCGAAGCAATCAAGTGATTCGGGTGGAGTGCGTCATGCTGATCAATTTTTAAGGAAGGTACTTCCTTTAGCAGTAACACTGGAGTTAGTCAGAATTAAATTTGGTTGTAAATATAAAACATTAATTTACTATATCTTTTATATTTATTAATATAATTTTTTTTCAAATTAATTTATTTAATTTATAAATTAATATATAATCTAATATTATATATAGTATATGTTAGAGAGATCTAGTTATACAATTGTTATAAATTTACTAATTTATCAAAACTCTTTAGTGTCTGTTTGGCATCACTTATTTAGAGCTTATAAGTAGCTTATAAGCTCTATAAGCTCTATAAGCTCGATTGACACAATTAGGTCTGTTTGGATCAGCTTTTTTGCAATCGGACTTTTGTCTAAAAAGCTTCAATAAGCTATAAGCTAAAATTAACAACTTATGACTTATAGCTTATGGCTTATGGCTTTTGAAATATGGAGAGAGAAAAAGTTAAGAAATTTATTACCTCTTTTGGTTCTTATTATAAGCCTCAAATAACTAATTTGTAGATAATAAAAAATCAGTTAAAATTAGTTGAAAGTAATGAATAAGTTAGAAATATATTTTTATTTTTAAATATGTTCCTAAAAATATATTTTTATTTTTTCATGTTTCACTTTATATTTAAAATATTTTTTATGACTTCTTCATATTAAATTATTTTAATTTCATTGTATTATGTGAAATTATTTTTTTAATCATGTTTCATTATTTATTAAAACTCATATCTATTTTGGTCATTTTACAACCAAACTTACTTTTACTCAATCATAATCCAAACAACCTTTTACCAATCTCACTTTTGCAATCTAACTTTTCTGAACTCTAATCCAAACACAATTCAGCTTATCCAATTTAGCTTTTATCCAATTTCATTTCTCTATAAGCTACTTTTTCAATAAGCTATTTTTCCAATCGCTGATCCAAACGGACCCTTAATTTACTCAAATTAGTTAAATATATATTATAATAAGGATAAGAAGTAATATTATATATTCAACCCTTTTCTCATTTTACTTAACGTACTACTATTGTCAAATTTTATCAATCACATATAAATTTTAAAATTTGATGGGATTCATTGTTAACTTTTACTAAATGTCAGAGAAATTAAGTGCGTGCATTACAGGAAGATCAAGAATAAAGTTAGCCTTTAACATCATATGTATTATACCCATGAATCGTTAATTAACATGCATTAATTTTTGCAGTGGCTAATGGATCATCCAGAATACTTATCACATAAAATGTATTTGTGTGGTGAATCCTATAGTGGCATTACTATTCCAGCCTTATTTCAAGAAATTTCACATGGTATACAATAACACATAATTTTTTTAAAAATCTTATTTAACTCGTATTCATGTCTTCTATCAAATTGAGGTTCCGTATATTATTAATTAGTCTACCAGTTATTCAGTATTAAGGACTATATATATATTCTATGTGATCTAATGAGGGTTCAATTATTCTAAATTAATGCAGGAAACGAAAACGGGATCCAACCATGGATAAATATCCAGGTTAAAAAGAAATTAGAATATATATTTCTTATTAAAAGCGATCAAGATTCTGAGATACTAATCTTATTTGAATTTTATTATAGGGATACATACTTGGGAATCCATTGACCACACGCCATGAAGAAAACTATCAAATCCCATTTGCTCATGGAATGGGATTGATTTCTGACGAACTCTACGAGGTAATTTCGTAGTATAGGCACCAGTTATCTCAGGTAATTAATAATGAATTATTATAAGGTTCATGTCATGAGTCCATATGGGAAGGGTTACCTTGAAAGGAAGCTTTATAAGGTTTTAGGCTTTTCAACTCTGACGGCTAGTTCCATGTGGTTCTTCCAAGGACTTCTACTATTTAAAGTCTATATCCGTTCACGAGATGATTCTTCAAAAATCTCTCAAATTGTAATAATTTTGATTGTTGGCTTTACAAGAACAGTCATTACAGAAAAATTGCAAAGGAGAATACAAAAAGATAGACCCCAAAAACTTGTTATGTCTCAGAGATTTCCAGTTATTCCAAGAGGTAATAACTGTGTGGATTCTTTCTACAGTTTTTTTGTAAAATTTATTTGATTGTTTTCGAATCTCTAATTTGTCTTTGGCCTTCCAGTTAACTGCAGAAATTGATCCCGCTATGATTTTGGAACCTGCCTTTTGTGGTTATGATCTGCGTGTGCTTCCCCCAAGAATTTCTTTGATGAAGAGATCTCTATCCCAGAAAGTGAAAGACCCTAACTTTCCATCAAAATGTCGGGTAATTCTTTTGAAATAAACCCAGATCTGTATAATAATGAAAAGGAGAAATGTGTGTGTGTCTATATATATATATAGTTTTGTAAGTTTCATTACGCAGGTTAGGCTTTCCAATTTTGCTTGCAATGTATGGTTGAAGAGGATATTCTAATAGTTACATAATTTAAAGAGTAGCATGTGATTCTCATTTCAAATCTTGATTGCTTATATTGCAGTTGAATATAATCATCAAGACTTTTTTATCGCTTCAGTCTTAGAATCCTAATATTTTTTATTTTAATAAAAGCAAAATATAAAACAAACATAATATTTAAAATTTTGACAGTCAATTTTTTTTAAAAAAAACAATCTTTTGACATAAAAAGAATTAAAAATATAACATTCAAAAAAATTATACTACCTTCAATCCTTAATATAAGAGCTAGTTAGTTAATTTGAATAGATTAAAAAAATTTGTTGAGTTAGTTATTTATAATAAATAGGTATTATCTTTCCTAAAATACATTTAGTACTATAATATAACTTTACAATCCATTGATAATGTGGGTAAGCGCTTATCCTTTAATAATATATAATTGAATTCCTTTCCCTTGTGATAGCGACTAGGATATTTACAAGCGAGACACTGGGCCAATAATGATCATGTTCGTAAAGCACTCCATGTTCGAAAGGTTAGATCACATAACCAAATCTTGTGTTTTTCCCTGCTCTCTCTCTCTCTCTCTCTCTCTCTCTCTACCAACATCAATCGCTGTTATCTTTTGGTTAGTTGTTATTTGCATTTAGTTTTAAAGTTTTAGAATATTTTTTCATTAATTATAAATGGTAACTCAATGCATTTGCTTTGCGTGCCTTATGAATTGAAATAAAAAATTACATTTTCTCCTCTCTTCTCTCCATGTCTCTAACTCTTTTCCTTTAATTTGGCTAATTGTGTATATGTGTCTACAGGGAACAACAGGAGAATGGATGCGTTGTAATCGTAGTTTACCTTACAAGCAGGACATCCATAGTAGCTTTTATATTCATGCAAATCTCAGTACAAAGGGTTACCGTTCTTTAATATACAGGTTAATTAGGGTTCTCTATTAATTATATTTCGTTTTCCTCTTCACGACATATATATATTGTGCTTTCATGCACATATATATCATTCTAATTAAGCTTGAGAATGTAATTAATTTGGATCATATTTATAAATAATAAATCCTTTTAGTTTTCACATTTTTTGGCAATTTAATTAATAATAAATTTTGTTGCTCACATACAGTGGCGATCATGACATGGGTTTCCCTTTCCTATCAACACAAGCATGGATAAGATCTTTGAATTACTCCATCATTGATGACTGGAGGCCTTGGCATGTCAATCACCAAGTTGCTGGGTAATTCCTAAATTAAATCTCTTATATTATTTCATTAATTATTATATATTATTATTATATTTGTATTGGTGAATAATATTTACACTTACTAGCAATTTATTTGCCATTTGAAATAGATACACAAGGACTTACTCCAATCGCATGACATATGCAACTGTGAAGGTATAATAAATAAGTAATTATGCTTTTTTTTAAATCACAAAAACCTTTCAATTACACTTTTTTCAAAGGTGAAGGTTTTATGCATTTAATTATGATAATTGCAGGGTGCTGGACATTCAGCTCCAGAATTCAAACCTGAAGAATGTCTCGCGATGTTAAAGAGATGGATAGCTAATGAGCCTCTCTAATGAGTGATTAGTTGCCACAAGAATGTAAAAATGAAGTTAGTGCTATTGGATAAATACATATATAAATATATATATATATATATATGATGTGCGTAAACCTAAGTAATATCTTTAAAATTATTTATGTTTGCTTGGTGTGAGGTAAAGTGATGATTCTCTTTCTCTAAAGAGTTATCTAATTGAATATATTTTTTTGTTATGATTTTTGGTGCCTAGATATCTTCTTTGTATTATTTATTTAGTTGGAGAAAAACATTTTTTTTATTTTTCAGACAAAAATTTAGGTAAATTAGGTTTTAGAGACTTATCGAGGCCAATATATACCTCTAAGTTCAAAAAACACTTACAGAAGTATTTACAAATCACCTATTAACAAGGTTTTTATATCTACAGCAAGATTTAAACTTATAACTTTTTGGGTCTTGAGCCAATTCTTTACAAACTGTATTAACTTTTGTTGAAAAAGCACGTTTCTTATTCCATAAAATTACTTTTTTATTTTCTCTACATTTTATTCTGTTATACATAGCAAGTGGGCTTTAATATAATTGGCTATTTATATACCCCCAGAAAAAAAAAACAGTTTTTTAGGGCTATATATTAAACACAAATTTGTCATTAATGTACGTGATAATTATATTATTTGACTACGAAATTCCTGTCCTATTCAAATGTAACAAGGAGCACACGATTGCGTTTTGTTTTTTCCGCTGGGTTATTCTAAGCTAACATAGATCCAAATGCATCTATAAACATGGACCTTGTTCGCATAGGTCCTATGCATTTATTTATAGGGAAAAATGAGATTGAAGGACCTTGATGTGAAGGGACGTAAACACATTAAAGGTGTATTTAGATTAATAATAGTAAAACTGACTTTTATTCTAATTGATTTTTATAAACTTAAGTTAGGATAAAAATTAGTTAGTGTAATATGATTTATATTTAGACTAACATTTATAAAAAGTCAGTTGAAACAGTTAAAGCTTGTTTGGATGATTAGTTAAAAAAAAAAAGGTTTGGATATAAAATGAGTAAAAAGGCATAAATTTTATTAAATAGTAGTATTTTATATTATATGTTTTTAATGTGATAATTGTTTAAAAAAATTTTTAATTATAATTATAAAATAAAAATTTTTGTCAATGAAAAAATTGTAATAAGAGTTTTAAATTGTTAAAAAAGGATTTAAATTAAAGGGCTTGTATAAAAATTTATTAAGTCTTTTTCACAAGTTAAATTTTTAACGAAGATTTTTTTTCTAATTTTCTCTAAATTTATTATTATTATTTTTTTTTTTGATACTTTTATAAATATACTCTTCTGATCATATTTATAAGGTACTTTCAGCTTTTTTTTTTTAACAAGACAGAAAGAGAAAAACAAAACTAAAAGGCACTTAAGTCGTTCGTTTGGAGTGTAGCCTCCAACGTCACAGGATCCAAGATTTGAAAATCTTGACTGATGCTAAGAGCTATCTTGGCCAACTTATCTGCGTCACCGTTTTTATCTTGATCAATTTGCTGCAGTTCCACTTGCCATTCTCTCATCATTATTCCTTTGATCTCCTGAATCAACAAGTAATCTGCATGCATACCATTTGTCTCTTCTTCAATCAACCTAAGGCTTCTGCAGAATCACTCTTAAGAATTATGTCCTTGTAGCTATAGTCCCAGGCCCTTTTGAGACCCCTTAAGCAGCCCCAAAGTTCTGCTGCAAGATTATCAGTAGCATCTGATTTGAGGAGAAATCCTTTGGCAAGATCATGGTTCCAGTCCTTAATAATCCCTCCACAAGCAGCGGCATTTGTTCTGTATGAGAAGGCGCCATCAACTTCAACAGAGGTCCTTTTTCTATTATTGGATCCATTAATGCTCTGTAATCGTCGAATGTTTGCCCCCAAGTTGACATCAATAAGTTTCTTGGACATAGACATCATGCAGCTCATGATGCCACTTGCTCTGATCATAATTTTATCAAGGGGCATGGTTATACCTGAATGGTAACTTTCATTTCTTGCTCGCCACAGGAGCCAAAACAGGATCACAAACAATCCTTTCTATTAGTTGCTGCCATGGCCCACTTGCTTGGTAAGATTCATCCAAAGCCATTCGTCCATCTAAGTCGAGAAGAAGTGGGTGTGGTACTCCGGTCTTACTATTGACTCCCATAGCCCTCTCACATGCGAACAGTCACGTAATGCATACATTGCCTCCTCCATTTGGGAGTTGCACCTGCTACAAAAGCCATCAGGGTGAAGACCTCTCTTCCACTTAAGCTGGTTTATCATTAATCTTTCATGGGCCATGAGCCAAGCGAACATCCGACACCGTTACGGGATTTTCAGCTTCCAAATATTCATCCAAATGCTTGAGGGGGGTCCATTTTCTGTATTAAGGGACTTGTAAGTAGACTTTATTTTGAACTGACCATGCTCTTCTCATTTCCAACGAAAGCAAGCATTTTCGTTTCTATCTTGGGCTTGTTACAGACCGTCTTTGACATAATTCCAGTTCTTCTTAATTCCTTGCCATGCATTCGAGCCTAGCTTTTGAGAGCTAATGTTTGGGATAATATCATCCCCACATCCATATTTTTCTCAAAGTACCTTAACCCAGAGTGAGTCATGGTCCTTCACTAGCCCCCAGCCAAGCTTCATGAAGAAGGCCTTATTTTGGTGTTTTATATATCTCATGCCTAAGCCTCCCTTTTGCTTTTCTTCACACACAGAGCTCCAAGCAAGAGGATGCATCTTGCGTTTCTCCTCTGTTGACCCCCAAAGAAAGTCCCAAGCCTTTTTTTTTAATGGTCGTCTCAGAGGTGCTAATTGGAAGATCAACTGTCTGCATAGTATAATTTGGTATTGCTACAATGACCACTTTTACCAACGTGTCCCTTCCTGCAAGAGAGAGTTTATTAATTTTCTAGTTACTTAATCTAGATTTAATTTTGTCAATAATAAATTGATACATCCCTTTTGTGACCCGGTCATGATGCAACAGAATGCTGAGGTATTTTTCCAAGTCTCCGGTAGAGGTAAAGCCCAATTCTTCACTTAGTTGCTCGGTTCTGGTATGATTAATATTCTTGGAGAAGAACACTCTAGTCTTGCTGTTACTGACTTTTTGTCCTGAAGCATTGCAAAAATTATTTAAGCAGCTCTTAATAACTTGCACCTGGTCTAAATTTGCTTCTGCAAAAATCAACAGATCATGAGTAAAAAAACAAATGAGAGATAGGAGGGCCTTCCTTACTCAGTTTAATAGGCTTCCAATTTCCCTTATCAACCTCTGTTTGAATGAGATGTGCTAACTTCTCCATACAGATTACAAAGAGGTAGGGAGAAATAGGATCTCCCTAGTGAAGTCCACGTGAGGGAAAAAATTCCTCTGCCTTACTCCCCTCCCATAAAATTTGCATGGTGGGGGAGGAGATACAGGCTTGGATCACATTAATTATTGTACTTGGGAGATGAAGTTCTTCTAGACAAGTCATCAGGAAGTCCCATCTAATAAGGTCATAGGCCTTTTCTAAATCAATTTTGATTGCCATAAAGCCTTTCTTCCCTTTTATCTTTCTCATTAAGTGGATAACCTCTTAAGCCACGATAATGTTGCTAAGCTAGTTCTACCAGGGATAAAGCCACATTGATTAGGGAAGATAACATACAAGAGCCAGTGTTTTATTCTGTTGGCCACAACCTTAGTAATCACTTTATAGATTACATTGCACAAACTAATTGGCCGAAAATCTCTAATGGTTTCAGGATTTTCCTTCTTCAGGATGAGAACGATAAAATTTGGTTTATATTATTAACCAAAGCTAGTTTCACAAAAGCTTGTTTTACCATATTGACAACAGAGGCACCTAACACTTCCCATTGGCTTTGAAAAAACAGAGCGTTTAATTCGTTTGGGCTCGGCGACTTCAATGCCCCCATGTTGAAAATAGCCAACTTGATTTCTTCACTGGAGATTTCTGCACTTATTTTATTCAAATGATCTTCTAGGTGGGGAAAAGTCACTAGACAATTAAGGTGGCAAGTTTCATCACTAACATGAGTGAATAGATTAATAAAGAAGCTCATAACTTCTTTCTTGATTTCGTCAACATCATCAGTCTAATTACCACTTTTATTTTTTATTGCCACTATTCTATTTCGTCATCTCCTGTTGTTAGCCCGAGCGTGGTAATAGCTGGTATTTCGGTCTCCTAGAGAGTACCAATTACACCTAGCTTTCTGTGCCCAAAGGAGGTTTTCTTGGATCAAAACATCTTCAAGTTCAAGTCATAAATCTCATTGAAGTCAATCAAGTGAGGAAGATCACTCTCAATGTTGAATAGACTGAGTGATTCCCTCAAGGCATCCCATAAGGTGTCTTTTTTTCCGACCCAAGTGACTGTAGACATCATGCTTCCAACCATTCACATTGGCCATAAAGTTCTGCACATTTTTCCTCCACTCGTCACTTAGGTTCCAAGACTCCTTCTTCACCAATCTTGCAAAGTCATCATGAAGGACCGACGAAGCTATCATGCGAAAAAGGCGCTCAACCAAGTTTCTTGGCCTTTCTATTTTGGATTGAAACAAGATAGGCCTATGATCAGACTTAAACCAAGGAAGATGCTTTATAGAGACATTGAGAAAAACATTCACAAGCTGGTTATTGGCTAGAACCCGGTCAATTCTACTTTCACAACCATCTCTTTTCCAAGTGTAAAACGGCCCATTGCAACCCAGATCCATTAGCTCCATGTCTTTAAACCAAATACCAAAATCACGGTTACAGTGCTAGGATGGAGAGCTGTGGAGTGTCGTTCATTAGTATAGAGGGTCGCATTAAAGTCTCCTCCAATGATCCATGGCCATCTTTCATCAGGCTGGATTTCATGTAATTTAGACCACAACCTTCTGCGAATAATGGGGTTTGGACTTCCATAAATTGAAGTGATGAAAAACTTGACCTCTCCATTATCAGCAACTACATGGATGCCTTGTTCGAATTTTTCAATGACAGAGATTTTAAAGTCTCCTTCATTCCTCAGAACCCAAATTCCACCCTTAAAACCATTGGCTTCGACGATCTCAACATTAGTGAACCCTATATTGGAGCTTTTTTAGTGTGCTTTCACATCGCTTGCCTTGGTTTCAAAGAGAGCAAAGACATCAAGATTATATCGTCTTTGAATTTCTCGGACAAGGCTTGGAAGTGCT